TCCCTTCAATTTAGTGAACCATTCCTCCCACTTTCTCCCTGCTTCCCCAAAAATCTCTTTGCCCCACTCTTTCAATCACTCATTTATCATAGATAGTTTCTTGGTATCCTGTAACTAGTATTGCCATTAACTTCATATTTCTCTCACCAACTTATACTTTATTATTGAAACCCGGGACTTTCAATCACTTATTGTTGAACCTAAATGGGCACGGACCTTAATGAATACCATTAGTCTCCAGACTAATGGCAAAATTATCTGAGATTGTGCATTTGCAGAAACTTCTGAGACAAAGCCGACACTTGAGCTTGGAAACACGTGGAGACAATGAACCTATCGATCCTACAGAAAGAAGTGGATTCCCTAGAATTTGATCAAGTCCATCTACCACCATTAAGAGAGAGATCCATAAGATTTAATCTATCCATAATTTCAAAAAAAAATTCTCAGTGAAGTAGTTTCCCCTAACCGCTCAGAGCTAGGCAAAACCATGCTAAAATCTCCTCACACCACCCATGGCCCCTCAGGTCTTCCTCTACACTTCTCAGAGTCGCTCCAAAGCATCTCCCTCCCCCTCCCCTCTCCTTTCCCATACACCCTGGGTATAGGACCACTTCCACCCCCTTGACCTGCACCTTTTTGAGCTCCTCCACCTCCTTACCCACCAGCTCCAAGTCAAAAATTCTACATTTCACAACCAGGAAGGCCCCTGGTTGAGGATGTTAGCACCTTGGCCCTTCAACAGGGTCCAAACTATAGTCTGGTTGCAGTAGTGAAAACTGTAGTATAGAGAATTTTCGCTCTCTAAACTTGAACTCCAGAAAAAGCTAATTATAAGTTAAAAAGAATCATAAATTGACCAAAGAGTTGCACAGATGACTGTAGCAAACATATCTTAAATCATTTATGCCAAACATACAACAGGGATCATGATTAAACAGAAACTGAGATAACAATAGATAATACAAGTTAAGAATGTTGGCATAGAATAATATATTACGACAAAATTAAGAATTCAACAGAATCAACTCTCTTCAAGAGCTCAAGAAAGCCAGCACATATTGGGAACGAAAGGAAAACATAAATCATTTATGCCAAACATATAACAGGATAAAAATGATTAAAAAAGAACCGAGATAACAGGAAAAAAAAAAAAGACACAAACAAATGACGGCAGGAAGAATGGAAAATCAACCTTTTCTTGCCTTCTGAAAATCTGCCAAGTCCCAAGGCCAAAAGTGATAGCTCCAGGAAGGAACAAAAACCATTTTGACCATCTTGACACTCTATCTTTGTCTGCAAAAGTCAAAGAACAGTGGGAACTTACAAAATCACTCGCATAACATGCAAAATATTTTTCTGAATTTCATAATTAACCCAAAAGAAAAAACAAAATCGAGATACACATACTAGTACATAAGTTAAAGCAGAGATGGTGGTACCTTGAGATTGGGAAGCGGGTGTAGATGGGGTTTCAGAGACAGAGGAGATTGCAGACGCAAAGGTGGAGAAGGAAGAGAAGGAAGATCGTGAGACCCAATGCTTATGGATGGTTAAGAGAGTCCCTCCACTGCAAACACTGACCCTTGTAAGCTTAGAAATGGAAGCTGCCATCTTTATTCCCACATTTGGTTCTGTTTCTCTCCCACTTCTTCTTCTTTCCTGCTGACTACGTGCGAGTCTGAGTCGTCGGAAAAGAGCCTTAAACCTGGGTTTTTGAGATTTACCAGAAAAATGGAGAATTTACAAAAGGCACTACATACTTTTATTATTTACTCATTTTACACCGTTAACCTTCAATTCTTTCAATTTCATCCTTCTCCCCTCAAAGTTCCAAATAGCACTTACGATAGACATACAATTTTTACCAATACATTACTAATAGTGAAGGTGGATAATTTTGAAAATAAATATGTGTAAAAATAATTTTGACCATATAATTTTAAATGTATTAATCATAATATATGGTAATTTAATCTATAAATTGGTTGTCTAATAAAAAATCATTTAATCTATTTCGATTAAATAATTTTTATATTATTAATTATTCTGTTCATTCATATTTTATAAATAAAAAATGCAACAAAGTAAATTTAACTATTCAGGACTTGAGTAGGAAGAATTGAGATAAAAATAATATGAATTAAATGTTAAATAATAATTATACTTTAATATATACAACATAAAGCTTATAATTTTACCTGGTTGGCACAGGGATTAATGGGTCGGGTCGGAAATTCCTTTTTGGGCCTAAACCCAAAAACCTAAATTAGGGTTTTCTCTTAAACCACCGGAAGCCTATATATACCCCCGTCTCCTCCTCCCTTCGCCACCTTCGCGGAATCGCAGTTCGTGTTTAATGATTCTCTGTAAACAGCGGAATCCCCGAAGCCTATATACGTCGATTAATTTGTTATGTCGATTGTGATTGTATAGTTCTCTGCTTCTTGCTCTGTTTTATTGTCAGTTTTATATAGATAATCTGTTGTGTGCTTTTCAAATTTGATTGGGAAAGGAAAAGGAAACGGCAAAGCGTCACTGATGCGCTTGATATATTAATGGTAGTGCAATCAGTCCTTTTAGTTGCCGATATTCTAAACGAGTAAATATGCTTACATTTGCCGCTTTCACCTTCTCGCGGCTTTTGAATTCAGATGCTCGTATATTTCTCCTCTCTTTTTTATTCAATTTTTTAATTTCACAAGCAAAAATTGGTAGTATAAAGTCTCCTTTTTGTTCAGTTCAAAACAGTTTGCTTCATTTCCTTCAACCCTTTCCAAAAATCGCTCATTTTATAAAGGAAAGATTTGGTTTTGATACGTTTTTTTTTTCCCTAAGTGAATGTTTTCTTCTGGTCTGAATTAGGGTTCTTTCTCATTCTAGCAAAAGTGTTATCACTATACCTGTTTTAATGTCTGAGTGTAGATGATTTTATGGGTTCCTTTTCAAAATGGTAATTTTGGTGAAGGATGAAACATGAAAAGATTTTCATTCTCTCTCATTTTATCTTGAAAGATTTTGCTTTATCAATTTTTTCTCAGATTTCTCGTGTCTAAATCTTGGTTCTTTCTCATGCTTGCAAGTGTTTTTAGATTGGTTGATGGCTTCTGTCTAAATCATAAAATTTAATCAAGTAAACTCGATGCCTTTTTTAGATAACACAACAATTATTTTCTAAATTGAAGAGATGGACGGCGTTTACATGATACTGGAAACAAGTAAAACCTTTAATAGATAATGTAAAAGTTCCATCATCGAAATCAATTTGGTACAATTCTGGAGGAAGATCCCTGTTGCTCTCGAGTCAGAAATTTTGGTAATATATTATAATTGTCCCCCTGAATTGGTAGTCACTCACACTCATGGAATGTCTCATGAAATATTAGAATGCCGCCGATATGATTAAAGCCACAAGGGAAGCAATGAAGTGGATTCCAACATTGGTGATTGCAGGAGCTGCGTTGTCATCATCGGGTTTCTCAGTGGGTTGGGTGCCTGTAAATCGCAGAACAAGTGTCAGTTGTTGATGGGGAATTATGAATGCAGAACAACCATCTTAGTCTTGAATATCATGAAGCAACAAAGATTGCCATGGGCAACTATGAAGGAACTGTCAACAGAAGAACTCACCGTTACCAGATGCTGGAGTAGTGGAAGGAGTGGCTGGAGTTGTGGATGGGGGGGATGGAGGAGTGGTTGATGAATTGCCTGGCGAGCCTGGTGAGCCTGGTTCTGTATATAAAGATGAAAGATTTGAACGCAGATTAATAAAATCTATGAAGTTAAATTAAATAAATTAAGATTTGAGACCATTGAACATGGAATCAGTTTTGCTGCA